CCTTCTGCCCAGCACCCCCACCCCTTCTGCCCAGCACCCCCACCCCTTCTTCCCAAGGCCAAGGCAAAGAAGAGCATCCTTGATGCGGACCCTGAGGCGCGCGCCCTGCTGGAGGCCACAGGGCGGACGCGCCACAGCGAAGGCTTCCGGGAGGTCCCAGACGGTGACAGCGCCCACGAGTGAGCCGCGCATGCCCTGGAGACACAGACTGTGCAGCTGCTGGGTAGCGAAGTCCTTGGACCCTGCTCCTCCCACGTTGGCTAAACTTGAACGTGGAGCCCCACGGGCCATGTCCAGGTTGTCCCGGATGTGTTCCTTCAGAACACAGCCCATGCCAAGAAATTTCCCTCCGATGCCATACTCTGGCGTGGGCTTTGTATCCCAGAAATTCTTGTCAGATTAGCACCTTAGCCTTACACGTTCATTTTGTAATAGTGGAACCCAAAGACACCGAGACGTTCGGAGCTCTGCTGGCATCAGCAGATCTTGCCATCAGGCAGGGGACTCTGGGGGGTCCCTGGACCTCTGCCCAGGCCTCTGCCGTCAGTCCCCCATGGCCCATTCTGCCTGGAGGTGGGTAGAGGCTTAGAGAATGACCACACTTTGGAGATAGCTTCCAACAGTGTGGAATTTGTGTGTATTTCTTTAAAAAAACCCCACAAGCATCCTATTAATGGGGAAATAGCTGAAGAGATTGAGGGCAGTGTGGCTTTGTGTGGCATGGGTCTTTAGTAGGTGCCAGTCACTAGGGCTCTGTTTCCAACCTTCTATGAGTCAGGGTGGCAGAAGGTTTGGGGTTCCATCTGCAGAAAAGCAGAGTGACATTTCTTTTATTAGTGCAGATGTTGGAGGCACTTGGGGCCCTGGTTTGGGACCTTGCTTGACAGATGCATGCAGCCCATCCCACGAACCAGTGCTGTCTGGAATCTAGACTGGGGACCCACTGCTGAGTCATGCCTGGGCCCAGGGTGGCTCTCCAAGGAGAAGACTGTGACCGGACAGTGGGGACTCTAAACAGGGGTGCAGGAGACAGCAGGTCCTGCAGGGCTGATCTCACCCTTTGTGGGAGGAAGTGCCAGGCCTGATCTGGTGCCTCTTCTTTTGCCATAAACCTCGGCCTTTGGCAGATCTGGGGAAAGGGCGATCTTCTGCTGTATAGTTGGCCTGGTGGAAAGCCACGCTAAACCAAGCCAGTTTGCATTTTGCAGATTTTGTGTTTCCCACCAGGGTTCTCACCAAATCTGCCCGTGGTGGTCCCCTGCCTAAGACAGACAGCCTTGTAAACTGGCTTCAGAGAAGTGCCACCTCTGCAGGGCAAGGGGATCGCGTCCTGCCAGGCACTTGAGTGCTTGGTCTGGTGCGGCCTGTGTGCAAGATGCTGGTGTGCAGCGTCTGTAGGAGCAGCTGGGAGTCTCTGATGGACCTCGGTCTTGTCCACCACACTCCAGAGAAGTAGGCTCCTGGGATCACTTTGCTCAAATACCTCACTTCTAACAGGGCTGCAGTGCCTGCAATTGCTGCTGTGTTTGGGGTGCTGGGTGGGTCAGGGGACCCTGCACCTAGCCTAACCAGATGGCGGCTCGTGCTTCCCAAGACAGTGCCCTCCTCCAGGCTGGGAGGGTGCCCCGCCAGGCATTTGGTCACCTGGGGGTGCAGCCCTCTTGCAGCAGGAAGGGGACAGCTGTGGGTCTCCTCCTGACCTGAGGCTTAGCTGCTCTGCACACGTGGGTCACAAACTTCTCAGTGTACAAAGCTGTTTATGACATCCGTGGGGTCCCCGAACCCAAGAGGCCCTTATGTGGATCTGAAAAACTGATGACCATGTTTTAACAGAGGACTTTGTCCTTTTGGGGAATTGGGATGAGAATTCCAGATGTCAGTGATGGAAGGGATTAAAAGATATGTCCCCTGTGGCAAATGTGACAGTCACTGTGTGTGCGTGGCGAATAAGAAAGGTGGGTACCAGGGGAGGAGCGTGCTGGGGGCAGCCTTCCTCCTGTGCCTCCATGGTGTCTGCAGCCATGCGGGATAAAGCCAGTTGGGCTCCTTCAGGGTGGCGCCTGCTCCCCTAAGGGCAGCCATCTGTGCCCTAGTGGGCCCTCCTTGGAGTTTGGCGTTTCATGGGCTTGGTTCAGTCCACACGGATCCTTTCTCTCCTTCCATCAGCCAGCTGTGCAAGCCACAGTGGCCTTGCGCCTGTGCGTGTAGGGGAACGTGTTGGCTCATGGCTAGTGCTGCCTGTGTGTGGGCACGGCCGGGTGGTTGGGTTGCAGGGTGTCTATGTGCTGAGAGGTGGGAAACCTCTAGGGCTCGGGGTCCAGCCCTGCAGTCCCGCGAGCCTGGCACGTGCTTAGCAGTGCCATGTTGCTGACTAGCATGCTCCCGGGAGGCAGAAACTCAATTTGAATTCTTTGTTTTTGCTGTTTTTTTAAAAAAATATATGTATTTGGTACAGGGTCTTGCTACGCAGCTTGGACTCACAGCGATCCTCCTGTCTCTACCTGCCCGGCGCTGGGATTACAGGTGTGCGCCATCACACCTGGTCTCAGTGGCTGGCTCAGTGTGCCCTGGGGTGGGGCCGGCACAGCATGTGGTGCCGGGGATCAAATCCCGGTCCCTGCGCTTGCCTAAGCAGGTACTTAGTCTGCTGAGCTATCTTGCCGGCCGCATTTTGAATTCTCTGATATGCGATGGCCAACAGCATCCCTTGAAAGTTAGTGTCTGCTGGTTTTCTGGGGTGTGGGTCTTTCTTCTACTCATCTGCAGAAGTGCTTTTGGGTTGTGTGCTATTGTTTAGCCTTTTAACATTAAAGTATTTGGGCGTGTGGCTGCCACGGCTTTTCCCATGCGTGTGTGCACTTTGGTCATATCCATCCCCCCGTGGCCTCCCACTTCCCTTCCTCTTGTCTACCCGTAGTCTCCTTGTTTCATGTCATCTGTTTAGGTCCGACATTGTAGGGACAGTGTGTGGCCCTTGTCTTTCTGGGTCTGGTTTGTCCCACCCAGCGTGCCTCCAGCTCCCTCCGTACACCGCGGGCGCCATGCCTTCACTGTCCGCGGGCTGGGCAGAGCTGCAGGTGTGCGTCTGGGGGCTGGGCAGAGCTGCAGGTGTGCGTCTGCACTGGTCGTCTTCGTGTGCTCATCTCTCGATGCGCTCTGCTGGCTCAGCGCCTCGGCTCTCACAGATCTTGCCGTGGTAAACAGGCATGCGGGCATCCTGGGGGTGTGCTGCCTTAATTATTTTGCGTACGGACCAAGGAGTGGCATGGATGGATCACACGTTAGCCATTTGGAGTTTCTGGGGAGCCTCCACACTGGCTCCCGCAGTGGCTGGACTCTCGGCGTTCCTGCCAGCGGAGTAGAAGGGCCCCTTCCCCTTCCGCACGTCCGCACCGGCGCTTATTGCCTTGGTAGTTCTTGATGAGCAGCATTCTTGACTGGGGTGGGGTGGAGTGACAGTGTCGTGCTCATTGCAGTAATGGCTGAAGACGCTGAGTGTTTCTTCATACGCTTGGCTGTGCTTCTTGGGGAAGTATCTGCTCGATTCATTTGTCCATTTATTTATTAGACTCTTCAATTTTTTTGGTGTGTTTTTGAGTTCTTCATAATCTCTGCAGGTATCCTCTGCCAGAAGAGAAGCTGGCAAAGGTTTTTGCCCGTTCTGTAGCTGTCTCTTCACGCTGTTGGTGGTTTCCCTGGCGGTACAGAGGCTTTGTCACTTACTGTCACCCCATTTGTTGATTCTCGCTGTTAAATCCTGTGCTACTTTCTGGATTCCAGTTGAAAGAGTCTCTCTGCCTGTTGAGTCAGGTTTTTTCCCTGTGTTTTTGCCTCACAATTTCAAAATTTCAGATCTTATTTCTAGGACTTTGATTCATTTTGAAGGACTTTTTGCCCCGGGTGGCAGAGGGGGCTCATTTCATCAAGACCATGTTCCTGGCTCCTTGGTTCAGAGTCAGATGACTACAGTTGGAGATTTGTTTCTGCATCCTGTATTGTGTTCCTTGTTTTGCATGTCTATTTTTGTGTCAAAACCACGCTGTTCTCGTTACTGTGGCTTCATAGTATAATTTGAGATCAGTGTTGTAATTCCTCCAGTCTTACTCTGGGTCCTTTGTGTTCCCATATGGGTTTTAGGATTGTTTTCTCTAGTTCTGTGAAGAATGCCATTGGCGTTTTGATGGGGGTTGCACTGAATTTGTAGATTGTTCTTCGTAATGTAGCCCTTTTAACAGCATTCTGCTGATCCGTGTGCGTCCAAGGGAAAATTCTTCCTTGTAACGTCTGCAGTTACAGAATTCCCTTTGTAGAGGTCTTTTACCTCTGATTGAGCTGATTCTTGGGTATTATTTTGCTTGAAGCTATTGTGAAGGGAATTGTCTTGATTTTCTCAGCTAGTTCATTATTAGTGTGTAGAGAACTATGTTTTAAAAAATATTTTATATCCTGAAGATTTTTTTTTTCAAAACATAACAGCATTTGCTGTGTATGGTAAATATTTTTCCAGTTGGTTTGACTTTGTGGCATTTTTCTGTACACAAATTCTGTGTCACATTGGCAGACTTTTCCTCTAAAGATTTTTGGAATGTAATTTGTTTTTTGTTTTTGTTTTTTTCCGGAACCGGGGATTGAACTCAGGCCCTTGCGCTTGCCAGGGAAGCACTTACTCTACTGAGCCATCTCCCCGGCTCTATAATTTGTTTAGGAAGTCCTTTTTTACTCTGAGAAAAACAATACAATTTTTTTTTCCTACCTTTGTGGCTTCTATTTGTGCATCTTTGGTCTGTTCAAAATGCATTTTTCAAATATACCTTTCTCTCGCCCAAAAATAAAGCCCCTGTACCTTTTATGTTAAATATTATGTCTTTTCCTGACTTGAAATATTACTTTCGCACCTGCTGAATTTCTGAATGAAACTAAGTTTCTCATGTTTTAATTAGTGGAGTTCTAAGGTTAGAGAGCTAAAGGAGCTCTTTCCCACCTCCTGGTGGATGGAATCCTCACAGGGGGCACGTGCTGGTCTTCCTGGGCTTCGGCGGCGCTGTTGCTGAGAGCCGGTGGGGCATTTTCATGGTCTGTCTGCTACAGTGATCTGATTTTTCCACTGACAGCTGGTGACATTGACCCTTCCTTCCCAGGATGGGACACTGGCTTTGCCAGACTCTTCTCCTGACCTTTGGCTGTGTGGGCATAGGAAAGTGCTTGACGTTTGTGGTTCCATGCAGTGGTTCACAACCAGGCCCGTCTTCAACTCACTTGTTAGCCCCGGATAGCCTTGAACTCACAGCGGTCCCCCAGCCTCAGTCTCCCAGTACTAGGATAGAGGTGTGGGCCACCATACCCTCTAGCTAGGTATGCACTGTGGGGCTCCCTGCTCCTTGGAGGTGCTGCCGAGTGATGGTGTGCGCCCAGGTCTCCCCGCCCAGGTCTCGCCGTGGGAGATGCTGCGGCTGCGGGTGTGGTCCTCTGTCAGAGCTCCCGGAGTCTGCAGCCATTGCAGTCACGGGCCTAGAGAAAGGATGCGTCCCCGCTCTTCCCGTTTCTTCACCTGGTGTTATTTCTCAGTTGGTTGCTTAGCAGATCCTTCCATGCTCGCCTCTCGCCAGCGTGTGTCTAGGCCCGTGAGGGTGAACCCTTCAGAGCGTCCAGTAATGCTAATAGCGCTTGTGCTGGGTTCACCATCAGGGCTTGGCACACGGCTGGCTTTTTCTTGTGACTTGTGAAGAACTTTTGCCAGAGTGTGTGTTGAATTTTGTGAGAAGCTGGCTTCTGGTTTTAGCACGTCTGTTTTCCTCCTGCAGTTGTTATGGGGTAGGTGGCTTTGCAAGTGTGGAGCTGTCTTTGCCTTGAACCGTTCTGTGTTAACTCACTTGGCTGGGCTTCTACTTCAGGGCCGGGGAGATAGCTCAGTAGACTACGTGCTTGCCTGAGTTTTTACTTCAGCGTATGCAAATGAGAAAGTTGGACTTTATGTAAATCATGCCTTTTTTGCGCCAGGGAACAACCTAAAATGCTCAGCAGGTTCTGTCCATAGCACGTTGCAAAACCCGCCAACCGTCGCTGTCTGAGGCGGCAGCAGGGCCTCAGGATGGCTAGTGATGGCTTCCGTGGCTCAGTGGCGCTGTGGTACGAAGACCTGACCAATGAGCATAGTAAAAACCACTGTGATTTAATAAATAGCACAACATTTGCCTACAGCTCCTCCCTGCGTCCCAGAGCCCAGCGGGAGGGGCTGGACGACGAGGCTCCGGGGTTGCCCAGGAAGCCCCGGGGTTGCCCAGG